AGCGGCTGATGGGCTCCCTGCTGGAGCTGAACTGAAACCACGGACCCGGCCACAATTCTGTTTCTAAGGACACGAGGGGGGCTTGAGGCTTGGCACTGCCTGACAAAAAGCTGGATTCTTGGTTCAGCGGCTCAAAGGCGTTGACTAAACGTGGGGCCGAAGGAAGCAACGTGGACAACCGTCACTGAGCCACAGCGACAAATGTGAGAGGCGAGAGTTGTAAGACTAATACGCCGGGAGGCCGACGGAGCACAAAACCCTCCTTCCGGAAGGATGAGTGAGGCCCACAGAGCTCCCGGCCAGGGCGCACCGGAGACAGTGGGAAACTCACAGGGAGAGTGCAAACAGTAATTTCGGGGGCGTTTGAAACGTGCCGGTCACTGGAACGCCCCACGGCAGCTTCACACCAGCACTGTTCCGGGCTGGTCTCCACTCCCCGCGCAGTGACCTCCAGGGGCGGCGTGTGGGGGCGGACCTGCTCGCACGTGTGCACCTGTCCCCGGCACGTGCTGGGGTCTGGACGCCCTTGGGGATAAGCTCTGCCGTGCCAACAGCGTGAGAGTGCCTTCACCTCCGCGTGGGAGGCACCGCAGGGTCCAGGCCAAGTCCACCAGAAGGAGAGATGCTCACGACAGTCGTGGTCTCTGTGTCCTCACCACAGGTCCTCCAGAGTCAGAAGCACTGACGTGGGGAGGGGGGTCCTTCTCTCGAGGAAAGTCACACATCTGACTGCTACCCGTGGGAACACCTTCCCTCCATCACCCGCGACGGCTTAGGTCACGGCGCCCTCTCTCCCTTCCTGTGCCCTAGACGTGCCAAGTCCAGACCCCAGAGGTCACCTGGGACGCCATCCAAAGTCCCTGCACTGCTCATCCCCTGCTCACCCGTCCCCGCTGGTGGGCGGGCGCAGCCTCTGTGACGCTGAGCACGGCTGACTGCATCACAGCTGGGTCTCACGCCGCACACCTGGCGTCTCCTTGCCAGAGGTCCTGCTACCCTCTGTCCATCGTTCCTAAGTCATGCTTTCCACAGGATCAGGTGCCCCGCCTGCCGTGCTGAGTCCTGCGCACTCGTGCGGATGTCCCCAAGGTCACTCTGTGCTCCCGCGGCATTCATTGCTGCCTGTTGTCAGATAACCTACTCTACCTCGGGGCTCGCGCGAGTCTCCCGGGGACGAGCCCCTCAGGCAGGGCCCTGTCTGCTGTCTTCGTGGTCCCAGGGCCTGACCACGCAGCCAGCACAAACATTAAACAGGCATTTACTAGTTAAGAGAACTCGTGGTTGAACAGTTTACTCTTTTTACTTCCAAAACAGGTAGGGCGTAGCTTAGAAAAATCAACATCTTAAGGACTCAATCTAAAAAGAAAGCCCAAGCATTGAGAGGTGGGGAGAGGTAACTATCAGAGAACAGAGATCAAGGAAACCAACTGCAACTGGATGAAGACAACAAAAAACTATGATCTGAGCTCCCTGGCAGCCAAAGCAAAAAGAGTGTATCTGAGTAAAACGTTTCTTGTCCAACAAGAAGCAGCAGACCGGTTCCTAACAACCAAAGCATTTTCTAGCACTGAATGCTAAAACAAATTTTCATTTTTATACAAACATCAGGGGATATACAGTGAGCGAAGAACAAAGTTTGAAATGACAGCTTTACTAAAACAAGCTAACAACAAAAAACACCCTCCAGGCCTTTAACTAACCTCATTAAAAAGGAAATTCCACGATGATATTGTTAGAGAAAGAGGTGCTGACACAGAGTGGGTGCAGAGCTTTCTTACGACCTCCCGCAGCATAGCGGGAGCACTCACCAAACCCCGGGGACGGAGTGACGGGTGCTCCCCTCCCACACCCACACCAGCACTGGACCACTTCTGACGGGTCCACACCCCCAGGACCAATGGCTCAGGCCAACCCAGGACACAGGCACGCGGAGCCACTGCACGCCTCTCCCTCTGCGGGTGACACGAGGCTGCTCGGGGGACGAGCCTGGGGCGTCTGCAGGAGGCTCCGCGTCTGCTCATGTTTCCACCAGTGGGCACCTGAGTCCCCAGGGTCCTGCCAGGCGGTGTGCTGGGGAAATGACTGAGCTGCTAACAGTACTTATTACCTGACTGCCCGGGAGGACTTTCATGGTAAGGTCCTGCATTATGTAACGTCACACAGGGCCGCGTTCCTGGGGGTGCACCAAGACGGTGAGCTGAACAGTGTTCCCACCAGAGAAGTGACTCAACCAGTTAGCATTTTCCGGGGAAGAGCTACGGGTTGCGGTTTACTGGCCCGTTGAGAACAACGTGCGACACCATGTGAGCAAACACAGAAATGCCAGGTGTCCGAGGTAGGAAGGAGCACGGGAGCATGAAGTTCTTCTTCTCGAAAGCTGTACCAGGGCACCTGTGTGAATCAAACATAGGAGGGGGATCCTGGAGTCCGATAGGACCCACTTGGTTTGACGAAGCGCCTTCCTTTCCCTACAGCTGCCACTGGCCCACTGCTCACAAACAGTAGGCCTAAGAGAATTCAAGTCTGTCTTTGTTACACTCAGAGATTACCCACGGAATGGGAAAGGCCGTGCGGACGGCAAGCAGCGCACCAGCGATACCGGGTCTCCGAGAGTACATGCTTGTGTCCACAGCAAACACACGTGGGCCTGGAACAAACCTAGTGAGGACAGTTCACAAGCCCCAGGTGCATTCACATCAGGGCCCAAGGACACAGGCAGTGGGGCCAGTGAGGGGTGACGGGGATGGGGGCTTCCCGGGGAGGGGGTTGGTGCAGGATGACCAATGGACGGGGGCTCCCCGGGCGGCCTGGGGGCTCAGGTGCTCTGGGCCGCGGCCGTGCCCTACAGGAGTGCCTGGTGAGGGTGCACAGAACCTGCAGGCCGCAAGCAGCCGGCCTGCTGGACACACGTGGACACAAAAGCAGGATGGAGTCACCCCTTTTCTCCTAAAGTTTTCTCCAAGCTACTATGTCATTGACTTACTGGTCCTGCGTATTCACAGTGGAAGTCAATGGCCAGAAGTGATTCTTGGAAAAACAGAAACAATTTGACTTTTCCTTCTTTTCCAACATCAGTGCTCATGTTCTCTTTGCTTAAAACTGCAAACGGAAAGATTCAGGACTCCTCCTCCCAGCTTCCCGGTCTGCACACCTCCCACCTGGAGCCTGCTCAGGCTACACACCCACTGCGCGGGGCTGGGCGCTACGGCCTCTGAACGCTCGTTCATTCTGGAGACCACTGGTAGGAGGCTTGGGTGAACACCTCCAACTTTATCCACTCCAGCACCCTGCAGCGGCCCACTTCCTGGGCCGACAACGGGAAGAAAACATGATAAACAGTAAACAAAGCAGATGGAAACAGAGATGGGTTCCAAGTGTTGAAAAGGGAAAGATACGGACTTCCCAGCCTCACTCTGATGAGTAAGTTATTCAAAGCTCTTCTGGAAAAGTGGGTAGCATTTTCAGCAGCCCTGACTTGGGAAACCGAGCTCACAGCGCCTTCAGAAAGAATCGCCTCCTCAAGCCCAGACACGGTCCCCGGCCGTGAGGAGCCCCCGACCCCGCCTGCTGTGGAGAGACCCCAGTGGCAGACGGCCGCTCAGGGTCCCGAGGCAGAACGGACGGAGCGAGGTGCGCAAGACAGCTCAGGGAGGGGCCTGCCCACGCTCTCCTCAGAGGGTGAGGGGGTGGGGATGCAAGTCCCATCAGCCCCCATCTCCACCACGCCCCTCCCCGATCACGGCCTCTGGGAAAAGGAAGACCCCCGCCCACAACAAGTAACAGAGGAAGAGACAATTCACAGAAAGATTCTGCCTCACAAGTTGCAGACATGGGTCCTGTAATAATGTTGCAGTCAATGCTGTCCAACTTACTAGTGAATTTGCCAGGTTACCATGGAATTCTAGTCGGCAGCCCCCGGTCTTCCCAGTTTTGCTCTCAGCCGTGGGCCACCGTCAGGTCAGCTGCTGGCTGCCCGCGTGGGGGCACCTTTCGGCCGGGATGCACTTGCCCAGTTGTGCCAACCCCCCTCCACGTCCTGTGCGGACATCACCCCAGCTCAGAACCTGCAGTCTCAGGACACACTCACGCTGTCGATGCGGGGGTCCAGGATGCAGCCGGGCCCTCGCTGGCCTCGCCAGCAGAGCTAACCATGCACAGCTGCGGGTGAGCGGACTCGTGTCCAGGGGCACGGGGAGGAGTCCTGCACGTTTTGTACCGAGTATGCGAGGTACATGTGAAGTATGCTCACCCAAGTCACCGATCTTCATAAGAACGTAGTTTTCTAATTAAATAATCTATTCACCCAATAATTACATTCCAAAGATTTTCAACAGGGCTTGAAAAGATGAGTACATTTTTCCTTAGCTACCCCATTTTTGGTTTTATGGTTTCTGATCCTTTAATTAGGGACTCAGGAAGATCGATGTACAAGGAAACCACATTTTCTTGATGTTCAAATTAAGTAAGCTTTAGAGTACAGAGTTCTTTATACTCGTTAGAAAATCATCTGGGTAAAATTTTTACTGGCCGACTCCAGAATCCTCTTTCCTTGACGACCGTGCAGCCAGCACACCCCCCAAAGCAGGCGCCTCACCTTCCTTCGTCCCAGGACGTTCCCAGGACGTTCCAGCACAACAGCAGAACAGTCATTCAGTCCGTCCACGAAACAGACGCCAAAGAAGTGATTCCCATAATCATAAAATGGATATACAATCTCAGAAATTATAAAAAAATTGGAAAATCAAGAAAAAAGTTCTACTTAAGTCAGAACAAGTACCACTGACATCATGCTGTATTTAATAGTAAACTTCTCCTAACCTACCGACAATTACGCCCCGGCCCCGTTCCGGCTCAGGCTCCTCCCACCTGAGCCTGTCTCCCTGGCATTTTTAATGGCGGCAAGACACGTCCAGCCCATCGTGTGGCCGTCTGCGGACATGCTCAGCTGGCCCTCTCACTGTGAGTCTATAAAAGTGGGACACCGTGGAATCACGCCTCACCTGCGAGCGGGCGCCCTCCTCCCGCATCATCGCTGCCCGCGGTGTCCTCCGAGGCCGGGCTGCCCTGCGGCTCTGGCGGAGCGGGGACGTACCCCTCAGGAGGCAAACTCGCCGTGTAGAACCGCCTTCGCGGGGGGGCCTTGGCGTCCTCATCTGCAGGAGACAAGGGGACGGTCAACACGGCATCACGTGACCAGACATTTGCCGGCCCTGGCACCCCTCCCCAACCTAATGCCCCGAAGACGTGAGACACCCAACAGCTCGTGAAACCCAGCCTCTGCCGTCGGCACTGAGCTCAGGAAGCCAAGCGCCTTGTCAGAGGGCACCAGCCCTATACCCAGCCAGGAGAAAGGAACGACCTGTGATTATTTAACCTCTGGATTTTTATAAAATGAGAGAAAAATATAACTCATGAAAAGGAAGCAGAAAAAAGACTGTTCCACATAGCATACCTCTCATCATTACCATGCAAATCTCTTAACGTTTTGGTGCCCGGTCTGGAACTTTTTCTCACGTGTGCTAACAACCCGCATATATTGTGTATACACACACATCTTAATGGGATCATGCTACCCACTTTTGTTATTATACATTTGTATATCATATATATAATATTCAAAAGTTAATACATGACAGAATAATATATTAAGATACATTTACATCTACGTGGTCTTTTAATGGTTACATAATATTCCATGTCTCTAACAAATTATAATTTAATTATAATTTAACCATTGTCCTAAATTCCACACATGGAGGTTGATTCTAAATTTCCACTATCACAAACAGCTGCTGACTGTCCTTGTCATACATAACTTTGAACACCTGACCACTGAGTTCCTTCAGAGAAATCCCTGCAAACGGGACTGTCCGAAGGGTAAGTACCTTCCGCTGGCTTCTGAGACGCACGGTCCAGAAAGGCAGCTACAGGATCGCTGGTTTCTCCCATGCTCTTGCCAACACTGGGTGGCAGAAACCTTTAACTCACGCACAGCTGACACACAGAGGTGCGTTAGTTTCACGCCACATACTGACTGGACGTGCCCTGCAGTGTTCCCGTAAGCAGTGCAGTCAACATCTGGCCCCACACACAGGATGACAACGTTCTGGACTCTGCTCCCCAGGCTGCACTTCCAAACCTGAGACGGGACCACACACAGAAATAAACTCTAAATGGATCAAAGACCTAGATGTGAGACCTGAGACCACAGAACTCCTAGAAGAGAGCACAGGCTGTGATCTTTTTGATTCCAGCCTCAGCAATATCTTTCTGGAACTTTCTTCTCAGACAAGGAAAACAGAAGCAAAAATAAACTAGTGGGCAAAGGAACTGGCCAGACAATGATGAGGCAGCCTAGGGAAGGGGAGATGTTCATAAACGACCTCTTCATCTTTTTAATTGTCATATTTCCATTGAAAATACGGTAAAGCAATCTTGTATGTGACAAACACAAGCGGATATCCCCATTAATCTTTCACAGAAAAACTGACATTTTATTTAAAAAAATAAAAGGTTTGAAAGAAATCACTAATACATATGACATATACTGTAAAAACCTTGAAACACTCTCCAATTCTTCCACCATCAATGTATTTCACTTTCTTGGAGCTAAGATGCAAGAATTCAGTTCTTAGATTAATTTACTTCATAGTCGATGAATTACTATGTCATTCCACTGGAATTGGGGGCAGAGTGGGACGTGGCTTCCAAGGAGACCACCCCAGACAGACATCAACGTTTATCCCTTCTGCAGAGGATTTCTGGAAGCTTTTAGTCGGCTAAAGTGTCAGTGATGAGAAAGTTAAAGAGAACTTGGAATGTCACTGTTCACTTGATTATTCGGGTGCACAGATCGGGAAGTGAAACACAACTTGAGTCACCAGAGGCAGCTGAGACGCATCTCCATCCAGTGCAACGCTCCCAGGAAACCGCTCTCATCCATCCGGACAGCACACCCGCGGCTCCTAAGGCTGAGCCTTTGAACCGTAAATGACCTGACAGCTTCCAGCTCCAGTTCTCCCCAATTTCTTCTGCGGAAAAATGGCTTGTTGTGATGACATCTATCTACACTTCCCCGGTCAGATGTTCACGGCTCAGGGACGATCAAGGTGAAAGTTAACTAGGCTTTGCTGAGCAGCCACACACACAGGCCTCCGCGCCCCCATCCTTCACCCGGCACGGGGCCCAGCGCCCCACGGGACTCCGTGCCCCCTGCCCTCCACCCCGCACTCACCGGGTGTGTGTGCAGGGACAGCGTGGGGACAGCGTCCCAGCTGGAGAGAACTCTGGGGGACCCGCCCGGCTCAGGTGAAGCCAGTGGAAGTCACCACTATGAGCTTGGTTGTCCACTTCGTTTAGCTCCCTCCGACCTGGAGCGGCTCCCATGCAGGTCCCTGAGCTCACTGGGTGCCGCCTCCGAGCAGCCGCCGTGCAGGGCACGGGACACGGACAGACCACAGCGCCTCTTCCACCCGGGGGTCACGCCATGCCCGGGGCACAGAGCCGGGAAGGGAGTGAGCACAGGACGCAGGAGTGGCTGGCTGGAGGAGAGGCCCGGGTGCGAACGGCTCAGAGCCCACATGAGCCGTGGCTGCGTCCCGCGCCCGAGGACCTCCACAGATGTGCGCGGTGACAGAAGGAGAACGTGGCCGGGGCGGGAGCGCCGATGCTCGGGCGTCCTGTCCCCTCGGCCTGTCCGGAACGGGGATGCGCCTCAAGGGGCCTGCCCCACTTGATCTCTCTGCTTCCTCATGATGCCCCAGCAGTTGAGCAAGCCAGTTTTAACAAAATCGATTCTGGTTTCCAACTCAGCCTCTTAAAAAGAATCACAACCACCAGAAGCCTTTAAAACATTCAAGGAAATGCTGTTGTTGAGGAAGAGAGAAGTTTCTCGTGGCACCATCACTCACCGCCCCCCCCAAAACTGGGTTAATGTGTCCCCCTGTTAGGAATGCGGTGTGCTCACCGAACCCCCTGCCACGGCTAGCTATTCCGGTTTTGGACTTTCAGCTCCCATAGAAGTAACTGGAGGCAGCTCTCCCTTCCTGCCTCTTGGACAATGCACGAAATTTGGCGCAGACTCTGGACCACAAGGCCCGGCCGGCCCAGAGCCCTCCTACCACCTGCAAATCCGGGAGGTAACACCTGGTCCGCCCCACTCTGGGGAAGCCCAGCACTGGATCTGGGCTCTTCTCCTTTGCCCTTTGTCATTCCAGACGCGAAATTCAGCACCTTGTTCTACAAATTGTCCGCTCACCCCAAGCACCTCAAGAGCTAATTAAAAAAAAACAAAACACCTTTTTTTTTTTTTAAAGGACTTTACATTTTTAGAGCAGTTTTAGGTTCAGAGTAAAATGGAGAGAGAGCTACAGAGATTTCTCATATGCCCCCCTCCACATGCACAGCCTCCCCAACAGCACCCCCACTACAGCATCCCCTCTGGACGGTGCATTTGTCACCACTGATGAGCCTGCGTGGACAACTGTCATCTCCCAGAGTCCACAGTCTACATCAGGGTCGCTGCTGGTGGTGCACGCTCTGTGGGTTTGCACGAATGTGTGAGGACACGTACCCACCGTGACAGGGTCACACGGAGTGGTCTCACTGCCCGAAACCCTCTGTGCCCCGCCTGCTCACCCTCCCTCCCCCTTCCCCTGGCAGCCACTCCTCTCTTTAGTTTTGCCTTTTCCAAAAGGTCACAGAGTTGGGATGATGCAGTGTGTAGACTCTGCAGAGTAGCTTCTCTCACTTAGTGATCTGCACTTATGACTCCTCCATGTCTTCTCACGGCTTCACGGCTCATTCCCTTTCTATACTGAATATTACCCCACTGTCTGGAGGGACCAGTCTATGTGTCCATCACCTACTGCAGGACAACTTGGTGGCCTCCGGGTTTTGGCAGTTACAAATACAGCTGCTGTAAACACCTGTTTCAGCTTTCATGTGCACAACAGCTAGGTCATTCCGTGGGGCTTTCAGGGGGGATGAGGGATCAGATCATTCTCTGCACAGTCTTTGCCATCTTGGCCTCCCTGGGCCCCTCCTCCTGTACCTCAAACAGAGTTCTTTTATCCCTGATGGAAGTCTCCGGGCCACCAACACCCCACGCTACGAGCGCACCCACGCACACCCCGCACCCACGCTGCGAGCGCACCCACGCACACCCCGCACCCACGCTGCGAGTGCACCCACGCACACCCCGCACCCACGCTGCGAGCGCACCCATGAACATCGAGCACCCACTGCGAGCACACCCACGCACACCCCGCACCCACGCTGCGAGCGCACCCAAGCACACTCCACACCCATGCTGCGAGCGCACCACGCACACCCCGCACCCACGCTGCGAGCGCACCCACGCACACCGAGCACCCACGCTACGAGCGCACCCACGCACACTGAGCACCCGCGCTGCGAGCGCACCCACGCACACCCCGCACCCACGCTGCGAGCGCACCCACGCTACGAGCGCACCCACGCTACGAGCGCACCCACGCACACTCCACATCCACGCTGCGAGCGCACCCACGCACACCCCGCACCCACGCTGCGAGCGCACCCATGAACATCGAGCACCCACTGCGAGCGCACCCACGCACACCGAGGACCCGCGCTGCGAGCGCACCCACGCACACCCCGCACCCACGCTGCGAGCGCACCCACGCACACCGAGCACCCACGCTACGAGCGCACCCACGCACACTCCACACCCATGCTGCAAGCGCACCCACGCACACCCCGCATCCACGCTGCGAGCGCACCCACGAACATCGAGCACCCACTGCGAGCACACCCACGCACACCGAGCACCCGCGCTGCGAGCGCACCCACGCACACCCCGCACCCATGCTGCGAGCGCACCCACGCTACGAGCGCACCCACGCACACCGAGGACCCGCGCTGCGAGCGCACCCACGCACACGCCGCACCCATGCTGCGAGCGCACCCACGCTACGAGCGCACCCACGCACACCGAGCACCCGCGCTGCGAGCGCACCCACGCACACCCCGCACCCACGCTGCGAGCGCACCCACGCACACCGAGCACCCACACTACGAGCGCACCCACGCACACTCCACACCCATGCTGCAAGCGCACCCACGCACACCCCGCACCCACGCTGCGAGCGCACCCATGAACATCGAGCACCCACCGCGAGCACACCCACGCACACCGAGCACCCGCGCTGCGAGCGCGCCCACGCACACCGAGCACCCACGCTACGAGCGCACCCACGCACACTCCACACCCATGCTGCGAGCGCACCCACGCACACCCCGCATCCATGCTGCGAGCGCACCCATGAACATCGAGCACCCACTGCGAGCACACCCACGCACACCGAGCACCCGCGCTGCGAGCGCACCCACGCACACTCCACATCCATGCTGCGAGCGCACCCACGCACACCCCGCACCCACGCTGCGAGCGCACCCATGAACATCGAGCACCCACTGCAAGCACACCCACGCACACGGAGCACCCGCGCTGCGAGCGCACCCTCGCACACCGAGCACCCGCGCTACGAGCGCACCCACGCACACCCCGCACCCACGCTGCGAGCGCACCCACGCACACCGAGCACCCACGCTACGAGCGCACCACGCACACCCCGCGCCCACGCTGCGAGCGCACCCACGCACACCCCGCACCGACGCTACGAGCGCACCCACGCACACCGAGCACCCACGCTGCGAGCGCACCCACGCACACCGAGCACCCACGCTGCGAGCGCACCCACGCACACCGAGCACCCACGCTGCGAGCGCACCCACGCACACCGAGCACCCACGCTGCGAGCGCACCCGTGAACATCGAGCCCCCACTGCGAGCACACCCACGCACACCCCACACCCACCCCACACCCACGCTGCGAGCGCACCCACGCACACCGCGCACCCACGCTGAGTGTGCACAGACCACATCCCTACGACCCCCACCATCAGGTGGTTATCCAGCTTCCAAACTGCCACTTCACTGCAGCTATTTTCTGTGCAATGAAAAAGTTTCACCGCCTTGTGCTTAAGTGATCCTGCTTAGCTTTGGAATAACATCTGCCAAATAGGATGGGTCTGTGAGCTCCTCTTGTTCACATGGTGAACAGTTAACCTGTTGCCACATCGTCTCCCAAAAGCTGC